TTACGGTATAGAAAGAACACTTAAATAAGAAGCATTTGGAGAAATTATCTGGAAGACAGGCCATAAGAGGGAAGGAAATTAGCAAGATTTTTTTTCAATAAGCTTCCTTTCAGGTGGTAGATACTTTGCCACTGTGTTCTGAAGGAAATAGGAATATGGTTTGATCTGAAAGAGAAAGATAATAAAATCCCTTTTCTCTAGCCTTATTTCTTTATCTGGAAAATGTGGTAGGTTTCTAACACTGAAATCCTATGAGCCTGTGACTCTAAGGCAATCCTAATAGGAGAAATACTAAAATTGGCTCCTGAACCAGAGAAGTTGCCAGTTCTGTGCCTACTACCCTTTTTATTTAGCCTACAAACATTTACTGACTATCTGCACTGGGTCAAGTACTATACTGATTGCCAGACATACAGAGGCATATAAATAAGACAGTGACTTCTAATAGTTCACAGTCTAGCAAGAAATATAAATGGAAAATAAATCACTGCAAAGTGATATGATCAGTGACCAGCTACTAGAGAGATATATTGTGGGAGCCCAGAAAAATTAACACAAACCTCATTTTAGAGGGACCGGAGACATTGCAGAAGACTCACTTAACTGTCTTCAAGGATGAGTAGAAGTTTGTCTGGTGGAAATTTTAAAAAAGGATATTCTAAGATGTGCAAGTGCTGTGACATATAAAAGAATATGGGTATATTCCAAGAAAAGGAAGAACTTCAAAGTGAGTAAATTATGGAGTGCAAGGTGGGAAGTAGCAGGAAAAAATCTAGTAGGACAGAATGACAACAGATTGGAAAGGATTTCAAATGCAATTCAAAATAGTTTGGGTTTCATCCTCTGGGAAATAGAAAATCATTGTATTAACCTAGGGAGTAGTACGGTCTGAATTTCCCTTATGAAAAAAAGTCTCTAGTGACCTTAGGAAGGATGACTCATCCAAAAGGTTGTATATATGTTTATGGTCCTGTCATTTGTATTCATGTGTGCTTAGCTGTCCTTTTCTTAGCTTGTCCCTGGTGTTCTGCTAGACATGTGTACTGACCAGTTCCTCTCCACCTCCACATTCTTTCAAGTCTCTGTTTTCAGTCTCTACAACTGCCACTGATAAATGTTGTTGAAAGAAGGTAGATGAAAGGGGTAGGGAAGGAAGAGGACGGAACAATATGAATAATCACAAAGGAAATATCAGAGACAAAGAGAGAAGTTATACTAATAAAAATAACAATGTAATGGTAAATGGTATTGAGTGCACACTATGTGACAAGCTCATTACTTTATGCTTCACAGTACCTCATTAAATCTCAAATAACCCCACAACAAAGCTACCAATTTATCCTTATTTGCAGATGAGCTAAGTGAAGCTTAGAAGTTGTTAAGTAACTTGGCTATGGTTATAAAGTAAATGAGAGAAAAGAGATTCAAGTAAGTCCTGTCTGACTCTAAATCCTATGCTTGTAACTTTTATTCTATGCTTCTAATAATATCAGTTACTGAATGTTAACCACGTGTCAAAATCTGTCCTAGCTGCTTTGCACAGGCTACCTCTATGACCTACAATAACCCAAAAAAGTAAATATCATTGTCCCCATTTCACAGAAGAGGAAGGAGACTGAGTAACTGATCTAAGGTTGTACAAGTAGTAAGAGGCATTACCAAAGTTTGGGTGGTGATGCCTAGTCTGTTTGGATGTACCCTTTCCACTACATTATGATGTGTATATATTTCTGATTCTTTCCTTCCCTATAAACTCTTCCCCATTTCTACATTTCCAGATTCTACCTTCAAGGCTCAGTTAATATCTTACTTCTTCCAGAAGTCTGTCAACAAAATATTAGTTCACCATTGCATTCCTATCTGAATTATTTGTGTTACATTCATTTAATTTGATCAGAATAGATATGTATTTGTTTCCTCCTATATGTTTACATTCTATATCTTCAATCAGGCAACCCCACAGTGCCTGTAGCAGGTTTCTCAGGCAGGATGTACTGTCCATACATACCTTATACTACTCAGCCTCTAGAAGTGGACAAGAATTGTGCCATAATATTTTGTATCCCCCAAGATAACTAGCAGAAACCTAAGTATATGGTAGGGCTTAATAAATAATGTGTTGAATGACTCCAACGTACTCTAATAGTATATAGTTTTCAATAATAATAGTAACAACAGCTAATTTTCCCTGTATGTATGGAGACTTTATATATACTCAATCCTTGCAAAAGCCAGTAATGTAGGTAATATTGTTACCTTCTTTTTACAGAGGAAACTCTGTTAAATCAAAAAAGTTAAGCGACTTGTTCAAGGTCATGCAGCCAATAAGGGTGGCAGAGACAAGATTCAAGCCCATGCAGTTTCACTTCAGAGTCAGCATTCTTTTGACTACTTTACAATATGGCCTTCACTCAATAGATGTTGTTCCAAGATTAAGGAACTATCACATCTTAAAAAAAAAACTGTAAATGCACACATTACTTCTGCTATAAACACTGGAAAAGATAGAAAGAAGAGTCTGTCTATATAAAGTAGAAAACCAGAGCAGTAGATACAAAAATGCTAGGAAAAATAATAAGAATATTGAGAAGTATTTCTCTTAGAGTGTAACATTTTTGCATAATTTTCTTTGATTTGTGAAGCATCCATGCCAACTTCCTCTCAATACACCAAATTAGATAGCATACCTCAGAGTGAGCAGCCATTGTTAGCAAAGACCCTGAAACCCTATCCCAGAAACATGTAATCCTGAACCAGTGAAATACAACCACCTCTGCACTGACACAGAACAGCTGTTTAGGGTGTCCAAGGAATGGCCTGATGAAGATAGCAAGGAAAAATTGAAAAACTGAATATCAATTGGTCTTTTAAACTTTATTAAGTTGTCGCAAAAGTCAGGAAACATATTATACTTTTAAAGGGCAACAAGAAATTCTCGACAATTTCAAAATCCTGAAAAATAGAGGTAAGTGATGTATGCTTGTATATAATTCATAATTTACAATTTGCCAGACATTATCCTGTACATTATTTCTTTCAATTCACATAATAATTTGGTCGGATCAGTAGTATTATCATCTCTACAGAATCAGCCTCTACAAATGAAGTTTAGAGAAGATAATTTCCCACAGTTGTTTAGGTAGGAAGTGGTGACACCTAAAATTCCAGTCCTCTAAAACAAAGCCCTTTCCCTTGTAACATGTGATTCCTCTCGAAGAAGGAAAGGGAAATAAGAGCATCTTGTGTTACAGAGGGGGAAAAAGTAACAGTGATTGCAAAATGGACAATGACTAAAGCATTGGAATGACAGGTCTTATCTCTCTTTCTCTATCCTTTTAAGGAACCTCCACAATTCCCCTTTAAAAGTAAAATAAATAAAATAAGGGGTACAAGTAATACAAAATAAAGATCCTCCCAGTTGCTTTCCATCCCCGTGTTCGCTAACTTCACCCTTCCACTCTCTGAACCTTGTGGTACAATCATAGTAACATGGTACCACCAGAGTTGTGTGATAGACACTCAAAAAAGCCCCATGACTCAATTCAAAGAAAATGCCAAAGGAGAGCCTGAGAAAACCTAGAACATGGAAAATAAACCAATTTTCCCTTGTAGCACAGCGTGTTAATTATCCAGAGGAAAATATAATACAGCATGACTTTACAGAAGTATTGTGTGGTATGCTCTATGTAGTGAAAAAATGGGGGAGCTAGAGTCTGGAAAATGGAAGAAAAATGAAAAAGCAAACAGCCCATCCAGAATCTGTTATGCCTACAGAACTCCATGCAACAAAGTAAAGAAAACTGCTTCCTTCAGAAATCTATAATTTTCTGGGGAATCAAGGTCAATAAGCATATCTACTCTTTTTCAGAACCAGCACATAAAAATTTTCAAAATTCATAAGGAATGACAAGTCAGACACTTCACTGCAGAGGCAGCCACTATGAAAAAGACCACAAAGGATATACCTGTGATATCTCTGGTCATAGAGATCTTTATAAGCCTTGGTACCATGACAGTAACATATAAACACACAGTTCCAGATATGGTCTCGTTGTTCTTCTTTTATTAAATCATTCAGTAAATATATATACATATTTATGCCTGACAGTGTTCTAGCTGCTGAGGATAAAGCAGTGAACAAGATAAAATACCTGTCCTAATATATTTGCATTCAAAGTCAAATTAAATCACCTACAAGATTTCTCCCAACTCTAAGATTCGTAAATTGCAAATGTCCCTGGTAGAAGAACCATATGGGCATTTAAAGGGCATTTGTGGGCATTCTAGCTTCAGTATCTAGCATAATGCTTAGCACTCAATAAAGATATTTAAGTAAATGGAGAAAACCACGACATAGGTTGAGCATTCTCTAATCTGAAAATGCTCCAAAATCTGAAATTTTTTGAGCTCTGACACAATGGTCAAAAGACATGCTCATTGAAGCATTTTGGATTTTAGATTTTCAGAAGAGTGATCTTCAACCCAGTATCTACAAATATTCCAAAATCCTCCCCAAAAAATCTGAAGTTTAAAACACTTTCGATCCCAAGCATTCTGGATAAGGGATACTCAACCTGTATTACAGATGTAGAAACAGATTCATTGGTTAAATAAATCATGATGGTAGGTGGTAGAGCTTTAAGAACTATACCCTGATCAAGTGCTATTCTAGGAACACCTTATAATTTTGATAAAAACAGGTCAAAACTTTATTATTAAGGGCTACTTGGTTACTAACCGACAGTTCCACAATAGTTAGTCTCTAAATCTTTGCTTACCTGTGTACTTATTAGTACCATACAATTTAACACTTAGTTTTTCTCTAATTGGCATCAAGAAATAAGATTTGAACAAGTTTTAAGATTAAAAAATACCTGAGAAGTTATCTGGCTCTAGCCTCTCACTTTTCAGATGAGGAAACTAACCAGATAAGCATGGAAATTTGCTAACCAACTGCAGACCTAGCACAAAGACCCGTCTTCTGACACTTAGTCCAATGTTTTTTTCCATCACCGTACCATCTCTCCTAAGTTCCTTAATGGTAGGAACTATTTGTTAAATGTTTTGGGTATTTCCACGAACACACAGAAAGTATATAATGCTACTGGCATATTATATTACCCAACAAATTAACTATAAAGAATTTTATTTTTCAAACCTGACTTTTCCTGCTCCCTGAAACTTCTCTATTCCAGTTGGGATAGAAAATTTGTAACAGCTTCTGAACCAAGATCCTGTCCTAAAAGATTCCAGCAGGAATTTGCTAAGCTTAATGCAGAACAAGAATAACTATCCTAACATTCTTTTACCTGAAAAAAATTTCAGGACTTACAGGACAAGACCCTTCCAATTAGGTTTTTCTAAAAAATAACTGAGTAGCCCAAAGACTTGCATTTTTCAGGAAAAGAGCCTATCTACTAGCCACCTGAAAGGAAATTTTCCTGAGCTGCACTTACAAACTTCATCTACTCTCCAACCAGACCTTCTTCAGGGAGGTGTCAGAGATTGCACAGGAGCACTAAATTGAGGGCAACAAGGCTGTTCTGGTTCTGTCACTTATAAGTTATTTGACATTGGGCAAAATCACTTATCCTCCCTATGTTTATTTTTACCCGTCTGTAAAATAGGGATAATAATATTTACCCTGATTACTTCACAAGGTAATGAGGTAGAACACATGAGCTAATGGTCATAACATCAATTTGAAAAGTATAAAACACCATAGAAATGTAAGGTAGAGCAATTAATCATTAGTAGTATCACTCGGAATGACTATGTATTTCAGAGGCCAGGAAGCTATCTTGTAAATCCAGTTAAGAAAAGGGCAGAGGCAGTGTGACACAACAGGAGTATCAAAACTTTGGAGTCAGATAACTATAGATATGAATCCAGACTCCACAACTTTGACAAGCTGTTCAAATTATTTAAGCCTCAATTTTCCCATCTGTGAAATTGGGATAGTACTACTGTGGAACTACTATAAAGAACAAGTAACATTTTTTTTTCCAGCCATTATCCACAGTTTTGCTTTCTGTAGTTTCTGTTACCCACAGTCAACCACAGTCCAAAAATAAGTGAGTATTACATAAGATATTTTAAAAGTCACATTCACAGAATTTTTATTACAGTATATTGTTACAATTGTTCTATTTTATTATTGTTGTTGTTCATCTCTTACTGTTCTTAATTTATACATTAAACTTTACCATAAGTTTATGTGTATAGAAAAAAACTTAGTAGGGGTAGGGTTCAGCACTAACTGTGGTTTCAGTCACCCACAGGGGGTCTTGGAACACATCCCCATCAGATAAACAGGGAAGTACTCTGTGTTGTGTATATCTTGTATGGTATAAAATAGTAATTATTATCATAAATTTCCTCTTCTAGAGGGCTTAGAACTTCAGGGTTTTATCAAGCATTCCACCATGTAAACAGTTTCAATATCTATAATGTAAACCCCACCAACCACAGAAACAACATTCTTGATCAACATAGTAAAAAAAATTAGATGTTAATTAACCAGCATATTAGAAATCAGGCCAGAGTTTAGGAACCAGTTCTATCAATGGGTATTTTCTCAGTCACTCAGACAAACTGTTGTGCTTATTTCAAATCCAGTGCACTGAGGCTTTCTTTGAGACTGGATTGTTGGATTGCTGCCTGCATTTCTGTCTTCTGTAAAAATGCCAAATGTATAGAAATTTCAGTCACCAGATTAGATGCTCACCTTAACAATATATTATGCTGTTTGGTGTCATGATGACATCCTGTTGATGATGCTCATGACTTTTTATGCCTTAATTTTGTTCTTTGGTTTCACTAAAAAGTAAAAAGCTCTTAGACTAATGAATCCAAACTCTTTTCAGACACAGTGCTGCTTCCCTTCCATGAGATCAGGGAAAAGGATATATTTCTGGTTGCAGACATATGTGGCACAGACATGAGATCACAGCTTTAAGCTTAATAGAAGAACATAACAATCTATTCACTGTTTACACTTTAGCCCAAAGGGCAGCTGGAAATCACAACCAGCCATATGCAGTGCCGAACAAGTGGTCATGACTTTATTAATAAAGCCAAGCATTAACAAATAAGATTCTGGGAATGGTACAGTGAGGGGCAGGAGTCTCTTACCCTAGGCCCCTCTAAGTACTAGGCATAGGGCCCAGGCTATTGTTGAGAGTGTCCTTTGGGATTAGACTATTCTCTCTGCCAGGATTTCATTTGCCATCGTTCATATTTCCCAGTTCTCCTGTACAGTGTTTAATCAGCTGCTGGTTGGAAAGGGCTCCCTATTCTTCCTGCATCCTGACATCCTGAAAAGGGAGCAAATTACAAAATAATCTAAATGCAACTGAATCAAATCACACATATAGATATGGGGTTTTTTTGTATCATAAAGAACTATTTCAAGTAGAGAAAAAGATTCAAATAATCTCTCACTTAATGCTTCCCAGTCCACGACAGGTATGGGTAATATTATCCACAATCTATAATGATAACTGATATTGAGAAAGGCTTAAGGACACTGCAAGCAAATTGTAGAACAAATATTTAAACCCAGGTCAAATTCCGTGTTTTCACCATTCAATGGCTACCACAGAGAACTAATTACTTGATAATCCATATCCTATCACAATTACTTTCTTTCTTCATTGAGATATACACAAATGTAATAGGAAAACTTACTACTTAAAGTAAACCACTGTTTAATACTGAAGCATTTCTTACATACACCCATTACCACAATTTGCAAATTTTCTATCTGGTTCCTTCACTTCCTTTCTATATCTAACAGATACAGATGATAAATTTGTAACCCAAACATCATAACACAAGTGTAAGAGCATAAAACCGTCAAAACATGTACAAGCCATCATCAAAGTGAACAAGCTCTATTATTAGGTCAGCAGAAATGAAATAATCAATAACTTTTATAAAGATGAGTGTACCCCTAAATATATTTTAAAAATGTAAATTTAAAAATTTTTAAGATGACTGCTCATATAGATGGTACAGATATCTGATATTTGCTAGAATAACTAGTTTATCCAATGTAAAGTTTGTTCAGATGTACTGGGTAGAGAAGGGAAATCTAAATTTACAGGCTAGCTCCTCAGACTGGGTCTAAGATATAGTTTAGATTTTGAGAAAGCACATTGTGCTTCTATGTTGTTCTAATTCTGTTTTTTGCTGTTTCTGAAACAGAAGTGAATTTCCTTGAAGTACACCATCTTTTTTTATTAGAATTATTACTTCCAGGCTAAATATACATTTAGTTTTCAGTTGGGTCTAAATGAAGACTGTATTCAGAAAAACAAGAGCAGAAGAAAGACAATGCTCCAAATGCACTCTCCCTCACACCAGCTAGATTCATGATAGGCTAGAAGAGACAGTATACCTCATACTGAGATCTTTAATAATGCCACTGGTGGCCCAAGTTATTCACAAAGTTATGACACAGGGTGGACCCACACTTTCTCCCTTGGGGCTTAAAGGAAAGAATCTGCTCCCAAAGTAAAGACAGTACTGTGTACCCAAAGTATGAAGCAAAAGGAAGAAAGAGAATAAGCCCAGTGAAGTGTGAGATTTATCTCAGATAACTTTCCCAAAAATCATAAAGCACTTTGGAAGACTGCTCTCAATCTCACAGTTTAGATACATCACAAAATAAAATGCATAATTTACAAATCCTAGGAGCTTATCACCACAACAGTGTGAATCAAAATGGCTCAATGGCTGAAATTTTCAATGGACTAAACACCGATATTAGCATGAAGAGAAACTGTTATCTAGCACCTTGGGGTTTGTAGATACACAAATAATACACATACATTATAAAAGTATCTTTCCTAGAAGTATGAAATCTAATACAGTAGGGAAAATCTTCACTTACCATCAATGGGTTCTTGGAAACTGAAACTTTAAGTAAAACAACCTATAACAAAACCATTTTTTTTTCTCATAGTTACAACAAAACATTATTCAGGGACTTCCCATATGTCATTTCACTTAAAGTCACAGCTTCCATGAACCTATTGATGATGTTAAGTGAGGACTAATTGTAGTCTTTTAATTGTCTATTGGCCGCAAAATAATTCTTCAATTGACTAGTGCTCAACATTATGTTGTGCAAATTATAGCAAACAAAGGCATAGGAAAAAGAGCACTGAACACAATAAAACTGCAATAAACTATAGGTCTCTAGTCTGTTTTTCCCCAATATCTAGATTTACTAAAAGTTCAGATTAAAGAGGGAAAAGATCAGCCTAACCAACATAGCAAAACCCCATATCTACAAAAAATGCAAACGTTGACCAGACATGGTGGCACACGCCTGTAGTCCCAACTACTCGGGAGGCTAAAGCAGGAGGATCATTTGTGCCCAGGAGGTCAAGGCTGCAGTGAGCTGTGACTGCACCCCTCCACTCCAGCCTGAGCAACAGAGTAAGACTCTGTCTCAAAAAATTATAATCATAAATAATTTTTAAAAAATGAAAAAATATCTTTTTAACAAATAGTGCTGGGAAAACTGTGTATCTACATATTTTAAAAATGAAGTTTAACCATTATACTTAACCCTTTAATCCTTATATTTAATTATATTTTTTAAATTAATTGAAAATCAATCAAAAACGAAATCTAAATCTATGAAACTCTGAGAAGAAAACTTAGAGGAAATCTTCATGACATTAAAAATTTCTTAAATATGACACAAGCAACCAAAAAACATGAGATAATTGAATTTCATCAAATTTAAAACTTTGGTGCATCAAAGTAATCTATCAAGAGAATGAAAAGACAACCTAGAGAACAGGAGAAAATTTTGCAAGTCATATATCTAATAAAGGATTAATATCTAGCATATATTTAAAAACTGCTACAACTCAACAATAACAAAAACAACAACCCAATTCAAAAATGAGCAAAAAATGTGAATAGACATTTCTCCAAAGAATGTATACAGGCCAGGAGCTGGGGCTTATGCCTGTGATCCCATCTTTGAGGGAAAAAGCAGTGGGAGGATAGCTTGAGGAATTCAAGTCTAGCCTGGGCAACATAGCAAGACTGTTCTCCACGAAAGGGAAACCAACCAAACAAAAGAGAATAAATGCAAATGACAAACATATGAAAAGATGTTCAAGATCATCAGTCATTAGGCAAAGCAAATCAAAACAATGAGATACCACTTCACATCCATTAGGATGGCTATTACTAAAAAAGTGAAAAATAACATTTGCCTCACCTATGGTTAACTCCCTATTCAAGTCATTGCTCAAATGTCATATTCTCAGTGAGTTCTTCTCTGATCATCCTATTTAAAATTGTTTCTTTGCACCAATCTCGCTTATCCTAATCTCTATATTTTCTTTTTCTATAGCACTCATAAACTCCTAACATAGTATATAATTTACTTTCTTGTCATGCTTATTGTTGTCTGTTCCATGAGAACTGAAAGCATTTGTTTTATTCACTAATATATTTTAAGTATAAGAATCAATTAACTAGTTTCTTGCCTGGAGATAGAAAAGAGTGTAAAAGTTTTGTAAGCCACATCATTCTTTAATCAGTTCTTATCCTCTTTAACACCAAATATTATCTTCCATTTATCATAAACAAATAAGCAAAATACAGTGGCTTAAAATGTAGTGTTCCACATTATTAATCATTTCAACAGAATGAGGTCTCAAAATTCTATTCATGCCCTAACATTCACAGTGTATGTGCCATTTATCCACTTATGGTCTCTTGACGCCCATATCACTCTTCAATTCTCTGCTTTGTGATGATGGGGCACTATATTTCCCAGACTTCATTGCCATCTGGTTTCCTGTTAGGTTCTGACAATGAGAGAGATTAGTAAGAAATTAGAAGTTGGGAAGAGACAAGGGACTTCCTTCCTCTAACTACTGTCCATCATCCCTCCAGTAGCAAAAGATGCTTATGGCTGCACCATTTTATATTCCCACCAGCAATGGCTTCTTTTAGCCCTCCCAATATCAGCTGCCTAAGCCCCTCAGAAGTACCAGCTGGCCACAGCCCTCTCAGTGATTACATACCATAAGCTATGCCACATTCTCCTCAGTAGTCTGAAAACAAGTCATGTAGCACATCCACCCCTTCACAAGTCCAAGCCCCAATCACAGGCTTTTCCAAGCTTGCAGGTTTAAGTAACACAAATTTTTCCATTTTCTTCCATCAGCCCCATGGCTGGTAGCTGCTCCCTATGGTTATTGATATCTGGGTTACCTCAGCCTCCTTTTTTGCTTTTTTACTTTTCCAATGCCATGTAACAAATTCCTTCAATTAAATCCCATCTATTTGAACTACTTATCATATTTTTGCCCTAACTAGACATGGCTGTATCTGGTAGAATATAACACTTCAGGCAGACCAAAAGATTGACAGTAGAGTAAATTTATAATTTTGTCACTTAGAATTTAAATAATTCAGATTTGTTATGTTATATTAACGAAAGAATGATAAAAATAGGTCTTTAAAATAGAACCAAAAAAATGGATTGATGTCCAGAAGTGCTATGTTCACATCTGTACACTTTCATAGAGTTTATCTCCAACTCACTCCTCTCTCTTGCCTACTCCACATCTCCATTTAGAGGTCTAACCTGCATCTCAAACTTAACATGTTCAGAACTGAGCTCTTGATATTCCCTCCAAACCCTGTACCTTCCAAAGTATTTCCCATCTTGCTTGCAACTCCACTCGTAGCTTCTCAGGCCAGCATCCTAGAGTCATCCTTGATCCCTTTCTTTCTATCGTCCAACAAATCCAATCTGTCAGGAAGTCCTGTGAGTTCTTCATTCAACATATATTCAGAATATAACCACTTCTCACTACCTCCACTACTACTCAAAGCCACCAAGAACTCTCACTTAGGTTACTGTAATAGCCTCTTAAGTGGTCACCCTGTTTCTACTCTTTTGCATCCCTATAATTTATTATTTTTATTTATTGCCAGCAACAACCAAAATGATCCTTTTAAAATAAACATGAGTCATATCATACCACTTCTTTGCTCAAAATGTTCCAGTGGCTCCCAATCTTCCACAGAGTAAAAGCCAAATCCTCACAATGACATACACATTCCTACTTGATCTGGCCCCTGTCATTTCTCTGACTTCATTTCCAATTATTTCCCCCTCACTCACTTGTCTCCAGCCACTCTGATCTCATCCCTCCCTGTACCTTGAATACACCAAGCACACTTCTACTTCAGAGTCTGCACAGGCCCCTCCCTCTGCCTGGCATGCTCTTCCCCTGGATATCTGCATGGTTCCTTTTCTCTGTACTTCAAGCTTTTAGGCAAAAATTTTCTTCTCAATGATATCTACTCTGACTATCTTATTTAAAATTGCACATAGACCTCCACCCTGGGTGCTCCCTATCCTTGTTTCTTGTTTTATTTTCTCCATAGCATTTATCTTCCACCTTGCTATATAATAATTTACTTGTTCAGTTTTTTAAAATATATTTCCTGTTTCCCTTTGCTAGAATGTAAGCTCCTTGAGGGCAGAGATTTCTGTTTTGATCATTGATGTATCTCCAATCCCCAGTTGGTGCCTAGCACATAGTGAGTGCGTAGTTAACACTTGTTGAATAAAATTCCAAACTCCAAGGCACCAAAGAATGAGTGAATATATGTGTATTTAGAAATACTGTGTGATACATGTTGCATATGTATAAATATTATCTTGCTTTTATTCTAAAGTGTAGAATTGTATTACCAACTCTAATACCACAGTATTACTACACCAAAATTACTATGTGCCTTTGTTTTTACTGAGTCACATGAGATCAGGTGTAGAATTTTCCACTTCTAGCATCATGTTGGCACTCAAAACATTTTAGATTTTGGAGCATTTCAGATTTTGAATTTTCAGATTATGGTTGCTCAGCCTGTAATACATTTATTTAAAGAACTTTAGCACAATGGCTGGGTCATAGATGATACTCAGTATATATTAGCAATCATTATTATAAAAAGCACCTAATATTTGTTAAACGACAGCTAAAAGCTCGCAAACTCAGCATTTTATACTGCCTTAATTTGTTTACATCGTGAGTATACTGAAAGCAAGAATCATATTTTATGCTTCTTTTGTATCTGGCACTGTATTAAACATATTTGTTCAATAAATAATTGATTTATTGATTAATCACATATATTGTTAAATCTACCAAAAATATAGATTGTGAAAGCCATGTCATTCAACATGACCAGAATAAATAAAACAGGATTTAAGAAAAGCAAGTTAGTCAATTCTGTCTCCTCATCACACTAACTAGGTATGATACTAAAGTATGCCAAATTCTTCTTTTTAATATGTGATAGAGATACATGTATTTCCTATTAGAAAAGGAATAATGACAAATTAATGGCATAGGAATAAAAAACAAAAAAAAAATGATAAGTAGAGACAGATGGCAGACTTTAAAACTGAGGAGCCAACTAATCAAGGTTGTTAGAAGTCACCAAAGACAACAAAGCACTAACAAAGAATTAGGTTGACAGCAAAGGATGGGACTTTGTTGGAAAGGCTACTTCTCCAAAACACCACTCACAGATAAGCCCAGTTGAGTGAGAGCTATAATAACTGACTCCAAAAGAAGTATATAGCTAACCATTGGTTACGAGAAGCTAGAACACTAGTCTTTCAGAGGAGAGGAACTGCAGAAGAATTTAAATAAAAGCAAAGTAATAAGAGAATAAAATCATCATTAACCACCCTTGAAATGTTGATGGAGAGAGACAGCGGGATTAGTTAATTCGATATTACCAACTGGAACCTAGATGGAATGACTGGAACTGAAAAATCCTGAGAAAAAAAGTAAAATTAAGGTTCTGATATAACAATATGATTTCATTTATATGAACCCCTAACCATCACTTTGAAGACATTTCATTTTTTATCCTCGTGCCATAAAAGTTCAAGTTAATGAAAACCATGTGCGGAACTTGCCATGCTCACACATATGATACACCATTTTTTTCACAAAGGTAATTTCTTGGTGTGTAGATATATTTAGGACGAAAAAATAGTGAGAAGAAAAACTGGCATTGCACAGAATGTTATTCCTAATAGTGTGTTAGTACATGGATATGTGTACATCTATAAGCACCAGTGCAAGAAATAAAATTTCATCATAAAACTGTGGTTATGACAAAATTATCTGAACTTTTTGTCCCTAATATATTTTCATCCTTCACAGGCAGAATGACAATTCACAATATACAGTCCTATATTTCTACAAAATGTAAAGCAGTAAGTTC